TGAGTGTTTGTTTCAGAGGATGGAATTTAGTGTTTTAGTAATTAAGAAAAACTGTAATACCTTCTAAGGCTTTTATTTTGACGGAGCTGAAATCACTGCCTTTTAAGATGTTCTGTAATTGTCCCGGAGTGACGTCACTAAATTGCCACTTGAATGCGGTGACCCGGCGCAGCGGGGCGCGTGGAGCTGAGAGAGAGAGAGAGAGAGAGAGAGAGAGAGAGAGAGAGAGAGAGAGAGAGAGAGAGAGAAGAGAGAGAGCAGAGAAGAGAGAGAGAGAGAGAGAGAGAGAGAGAGAGAGAGAGAGAGAGAGAGAGAGAGAGAGAGATATCCAGGTGACTGATGATTCTGTAACAATGTAGCGAGCGCGTACCCGCTCTGCGCGCGACGCTGATCACTGTACCCACCTCCTGCCGTTACTGTGGTTACCTACATACCCGCCTGAACGGGTATGTGCACGAGCGAGCAGCGGGCAGGCAGGCAGGAAGGGAAGGAAGGGAAGGAAGGAAGGAAGGGAGGAAGGGAAGGGAAGGAAGGAGGAGTACCGAAGGGGGGAAAGAAGCAAGAGAGGAAGGAGGGAGCGGAATTAGTCAGTGATAGAGGGGAGGAGAGGAGGAGAGGCGGCGGGTTGTTCTGCCGAGGTGGACGTGGCGGGTCCAGCAGAGTTAGCTACAAGTGACGGACAGCGGACCGAACCGAAGCGGACAGCCTGCCATGAACCGGACCACCCGCAGGTAACGTACCGCTGTGCCCGATGTTATTACCCGCCTGCTCCGCTCCGGTGTGCTCCTTTTCTCGTCCTTGCAGCTCGCTGCCGCTCCGCTCGGTTTCCTGCTTGTTTAACGGGCTGCACCGCTCTCTGACAGATAATGCCCGCGAGTGTCATCGTCGGCCGTCGCACGGATTTCACCGATTGACACACTTGGTTTCTTTTGTGTCGGGGCCGCTGTCAGCCGCTCCCCGCTGCGCCCAGCCAGCGTGCAAAACCGCTGCTCCCCCCGCTGCCACCTCTCCTCCCCGCCTCACTCTCACTTTCTGCCCGTGCTAACATCAGCTAGCCCCGCTAGTTAGCTTAGCAGGCTGCGAACGACGTTAGTGTGATAAACAAGATGGCCACTGGCTAGCTCTGCTAGCTAGCTAGACATGGCAGCTTGCCCTGTCTTTGTACGCCTGAAAAGCTGCTTTAAACGCTTCTCCCGCCTCTGTCACCGGGGCTTTTCTCTCTGAGCGCTAGAATCGGTGAAACTAAAAGTCGGTGCTTGTGAACTGGAGGCTGTGGGAGGGAGAAACGGACAGAAACATCCCGATGAAAAAATCACCGCCAGATTCTTTGAGTCAGTAAGTGCAGCGGCTGCGTGGCGACTTGAACAGGATACCTGAGTGTTTGAAGACACAGGTAACCGCCGTGGGAACAACTTTCCTGCCCCCGCACAGCCGCTGGGAGAGAGCCGGGCGGTGGGTCAGCAGGATGCGGACCGCTGCTCAGCCTCTCCGGCCTCTTTGTGTTAAAGTGCAGACTGGTGCTCGGACGTTCAGCGCTGATCCAGCCAGACTGCTGCAAACTTTTCAGTGTGTGTGAGCGGGGAGGCCGCTGCAGCTCCACCGGGGCTCTCTGCTGCGGTGGTAGTTACACAGGTACAACAAACAGTGTCAGGAGTCTGTCAGATGATAACTGAACTTCATGCACAAAACCTCACATCTCAAACAAAGAACTTTACCTCCTCCCTCACTGTGAAACTTTTACTTTGCAGTAATACATTATTTTGTTTTCAAGTCCTGAAACAGTTGATTAGTTGAACTATTTGGATAATTGATTAGAAATTTGAGTCATTTTTCAAAGAAAGAAAGAAAAAACAAGACTCTCGTTTCAGCCAGTTAGCTTTTCATGTTTATATTACGTATATGTAGATGTTATTGTAAACTGACTGTTTGTGTTTTGTTGTTGTTGTTTGAACATTAGACATGTAAAGGTGGTTGATTGATGGTAAAGATTAGTCGAAGAGTTTGTACAGATCTCAGGTGTGAGCAGAGTCAAGACCTAAACTTTGTTTTTCAAAACCTCATCATGTGATCACACGCTCCTCATAATTTATTAAACAGTGACAGTAAATTTACCTAAATAATGAATCAGTTTAAAAATGTATATTTAGAAAAAATCAGACCAGGTGTTATTTTGGTGTGACAGTTAGAAATATCAGCTGTTTCTGAGCTGAATGTTTCCCATGTTGACGTCTATATTACTTTAAAGTGGCCATACACTGTTTTTCTTGAATTTGTGATTATGAAGTAAATGTTAATGGCACAGTGTGACGGCTGTAGAATAATGACATCAGTGTTTAGGTTGGTTCCCCATCAGCCTCACTTTCACTAAACAGTTCTTTCTGACACAAAATTTCACAGTAAAATGAAGGTTTGATTTATGGCTCAAAGGAAGTTTGTCTGTTACTGCGCAACCAAAACAGGAAGAGGGTCGTGTTTTTGTTTTCCCTGGTAGATATCAGTTGCTTCCCCCAGGTGGTAGAGATGGAGGAACAACTGGAGTAACAGTAGAAATGAGCCTTGTTGTCAGAGGAGACAAAGAAATTGAAACTGAGGTAAATCTGGAGTGAACCTCGATGGAAAGACAGACCTTTAGTCCTGGACTTAAACACTGGGACCAGAGAGAGGACAGTGATCTGTCCTGGTCTTCCTGATGCTCAGTCCACTCAGTGTCCAAAGACATCTAAGTTACAGTGAAGAGAAAATACAAAATAAGACGAGACACGTAATTTAACAAAATGAAAACCAGCTTCTCTGAGCTTCATTCATTCTCATTGTTATTTAAGCAATATCACACTGAGGTCGTAATGTCGCTGAATCAGCACGGCTGTGATTCGCTCAGTTCTACATACACCATGATAGTTACATAAGCAACAACAGATTATGATTTGTTTGTTTATTTCATCATTTATTTTGTCTTCAACACAAATAGTTCTGTAACTGGACAGGTACTGGACTGTTGCTAAGCAACACATAAACATGTTCCTGACCTGCACAGTGACACCAGCTGCTGCCTCGTCTCCTCGTTCCCTCAGGTGTTCCTGAAGGATCCACCTTCTTCCTTCATCCTCTCCTGACGACATCGTTTCATTCAAATGTTATTTCTGAAATATTTTCATCTTTGTTTGTTACAGTCTGAGATCGATAACGACGTTAATGTGACGCTGATTAACGGTTGATAGAACAGCTGTGAGGAGGAGTGATACGTCGAGTTAAAGGTCCCAGTGCTGTTATTCTCTATATCAGCACTGATGGGATGACTCTCGTCCAATCAGATTACTCGGTCTGAACTAACTGTTGTAGAATATAATTTTACATTTTATAGACAGAAATAATTGTTTGTGTTTAATATCTTATTGATTGTGAGTCATTGTGTAACTGTTGGATTCTACTCTAATATTGATCAGCGTCGGAGCCTCGTTAAGACTCTGATCCCAGTAAATGAAGCTCAAAGTGAAACAGGACTTCACATTAGAGTGGTTGTACTAAAGTAAACTGATGTTTTCACAATCATTGATAGATCATGCTCCGCTCATCTTGTATCCAGGGATGGACAGGGTGGGTGGAGCATTATCATCATTGTAAGAGCTGTTTAAAATGCCTCTGATGAAGGTGGAGAGAGATGCAGATGTTAGGATGATTAATAAATTGTGATGCTGAGCCATAGCAGTGTGCAGGATATTCTTCTTCACAAGACTAAAGAGACATTTTGGTCCTAGACCTTCATCAGGCAAAAGGTCTCGGACCGAAACGTCAGTTTATTGTTTGCTGCTAGTCCGACGGTGTGTTCAAGGTCACAACATCAGGAGCTGGTTTCACAGAGACAGACTGTGACTGAGTCTTACATCTAACAAACAGACTTAAGATAGTGAAGAATAAAATGCTTTGTGTAACAGATGAATTCAGACTCAGTCTGTCTTAAGTTGGACTGTGGTGCAAGACTTGCCAAATAAAAAAAAAATGGCCGACCGAGGAACCACATCCAACCTCTGAGCTCAGTTTACCTTCAACAGAATGTTTGTGTTTAGGAAGAATTCAAGAGTTGCAGGATGTTTTACTTTGAAAATACAGACGAGTGAAACAATAAAAATTAAAATCTGATTTAGATAATAAAAACTCTCTCTTTGCTCTCTCCATAACATCTTAGAAAACCGCAAACTATGAGCCCATGTTTTCCTGTTTGTTTTTGCTGGATGCTACTGGTCAGTGCAGGTGTCATTGATTGTTACCATGGTAACATTATCTTACACCTGAGTCAGTCTGGAGGTAAGGTGTCTGATGTTTGTCTTAAAGTGAGTCAGTCTGTATTTTAGTGAGACAGTGTGATGGGTGTCTGGAACCGGGTCCAGATGAAGAGGTCGGGGGGGTTCGGTCGTCTGCAGGTTGATGTGGTCTGACTACGTCACAGCCGTAGATCTTTAGGAAGCGTAGAGAGACACTGGTTGTGACTGAAACCATCTCTCTCTCTTTCTCTGTCTCTCTCTCTCTCAACTCCACACGCCCTGCTGCGTCTATATTGTTTTCTACAGTACTTTTCACAATGCATTGTGGGATACTGTGAGTCCACTATATAGGGTACATTCAGACTGCAGAGTGGTTTCAGACTCTACCTGTTAAAATTGTGGACGACGCGGAGGCCATCTTGTTTTAAATAAACTTTATTGGAATTATCACTGGCTCTGTGACGCTGCCGTGTGATTGGTCCGTACAGTGTGACCATGAGAGTCACAGACAGAGAGGAGGAGGAGGAGGAGGATGATGATGTGTGTGAACCTCACTGTGATGTCACCTGTGTGTCTGCAGGCTGGTCCCCGTCAGGTGTGGGTGGTGACGCTGCTGGATCACCAGAGGAGGCTCTCAGGGACACGCCCCCTACCTCTCAGCCCCTCCTCTCTCAGGACAGGTAGCTGTCTTCAGCAGCTGAGGGGGGAGTGGAGGAAGGAGTCAGGGAGGAGGAGGAGGAGGAGGAGGAAGAAGGTGGACCTCAGCAATACTTCAGGTGTTGAACAGAGTGAGGTGAGGAGGTTTAGCTCCGCCCCTCACCATGACAGACTTAGAGACCGAGTGTTTGAGCCTCGGCCTGCCCCCTGAGTGCGGCTCCCCTCCCCCGCCCCTGGACCCTTCCCTGCAGGTGGACTGCGGCCCGGGGCCCGCTGCCTCGGCGCCAGCGCCCACTCTGGCTCTCCTCTCCTCTGACTGCCCAACGCCCACACTCAGCTCGCTGGCGGCGGAGATTGCCGAGCCGCTGGTGATGCTGCCGTGCGTGAAGAGCGAGCCGGAGGACGGAGACCTGGAACCCATCAGGACCGTGGACCTGTCCGAGATCCAGCCGCTGTCCACCGCCGAGCTAGGTCAGGACCAGATCAAGATGGAGATCAGCGGCCTCGACTACATCAAGTCAGAGCATCATGGTCACCACGGCAACCACCACCTGGGCCCGTTCCACCACAGCGACGTCACAGAGCTGGACTACAAGTCGCACTACGAGCCCAGCTCCGTGTTCGACTACATCTCTCAGGTAAAAGATCCCCGGTCTCACCTGCTCAAATCTGGTCTCACCTGGATGATGAGACCCTGTGGGTCACCTCTCCACTGAAGCGGTTGATCAGCCCGTAGCTTTAAGACTTTAATTCTGTGAAAATAAACACAAGAGCTTCAAAATAAAACTGGTCCAGCAGCGTTTCTAACACTGTCTGAGGGTCTGGAGAGTCGTGTGAATAGATGAGTTAAAATCTAAGACGTAGTGGTTGCAGGATCAGGTCCTGGTTCAGGATCAGGTCCTGGTTCAGGATCAGGTCCTGGTGAGCTCAGAGTCTCCAGATCTTAAGATCAGTAGCTGATGGCCTCAAATCCTTTTAAACAAAGACCTGATTACAGCTGATCTGGATCACACTGAGTGTCTCCTGCTTTACAGGACAGAACAGAGCCAGTCTGAGACCAGGACTTCCCTGGTCAGGACCAGGTGTACTGGACCTCTGTGTCAGTAGAATCTGTTTTAACACAAACTGAAGATTAAACCTTCATGAAGGAGGATTTACTGCAGGACTGTATCAGACTCCATCAGTTTAATGTTCCAGGTGTGATCAGACTGTAGAGAGCCTGACTGGAGTGAACTGATCACTGTGACCTAAAGGTGCTCTTTAATACTTTTATCATATATTATTATTATTATAATCACCAAATAAGATGTGTGACCCCCTCCCCTTTTAAAATGTAACACGGTCACACCTTTTCTCACAGATATTTTATCTGTTTTTAAAAAAATGATACTGATAATCAGGAAATGCAGAATATTCCCACAGATAATCGACACTGACTGACGCTGCTTGTTTCCTGCAGGTGACAGACACTCTGGAGTACATCAAGTCGGACCACCACGTGGACCTGCAGTGTTACTACACCACTGAGCTCAGCTCGCTGAAGGCCGAGTACCCCGAGTCCAACGCCATGTCCGCCCACCTGCAGCACAATGGCCTGGAGTCCATCCACATGGCCGAGCTCCGCACCGAGCTCAACAAGCTCCGCCCCGACGCCCTGCTGATGGACGGCATGGGCAAACTGGACCCTGAGTTTGGAGGGGGGGCGCTGTACGAGCTGCAGCCCGCCGCGGAGGGGAAGACGTCGGCGGAGGCTACGGCGACCGGGCAGACGGGAGGAGGAGGGAGTCTGGTTATCATGACCAAAACCCAGAGCCCAACGGTGAGGAAACCTCGTAACATGCAGGGAGAGAAGCCTTTCTCCTGCACGCAGTGCGGGAAGAACTTCAGCACACTGGGAAACCTGAAAACACACCAACGCATCCACACGGGCGAGCGGCCGTACACCTGCTCGCAGTGCGGCAAGAGCTTCGGCCAGGCAGGAAACCTCAAACGACACCAGCTGATCCACACGGGCCAGAAGCCATACGTGTGCGCTCACTGCCCCAAAGGCTTCACCAAGGCCGACGACCTGCGGTCGCACCAGCGGCTGCACACCGGCGAGCGTCCCTTCATCTGCGTCACCTGCGGGAAGAGCTTCGGCCAGTCTAAGGAGCTGAAGGCGCACCAGCTGAGCCACACGGGCGAGCGGCCGTTCTGCTGCCAGCACTGCGGCAAGAGCTTCACCAAGGAAACCAGCTACCGCAACCACGTGCAGATCCACACGGGCGAGAAGCCCTTCACCTGCTCGCAGTGCGGGAAGACTTTCAGCAACTCTGGCGTGCTAAAAACCCACGAGAAGATCCACACGGGCGAGCGGCCGTTCGGCTGCACGCAGTGCGGGAAGAGCTTCGGCCGCCTCGGGCACCTGAAGGCTCACCAGCAGATCCACACCGGGGAGCGGCCATACGCCTGCCCCCAGTGCGGGAAGACTTTCAGCCAGTCGGGTCACCTCAAAGCACACGAGCAAATCCACAAGCGAGAGCGAGCGGACACGGCCAGCACCAGCAGCAGCAGCAGCAGCACCATGGGCAGTGACAGTAGCTAAAGAAAGAACACACCCTTTAACCTCGGACAAACAAAGTATTATTCCTTTTTTATAAATATCTATAAATCTTTTTCCTTATGAATTTTTTCTTACATTTTCATACCTTTTGTGCTCTTTTTGCATTATATCTGTGGGCAGGGTGGACTCTGACTGATTTGCTCTTATGCAAGTGTCTGTGTGTGTGCACATGTTACGTACTGTGTGTCTGGGTGGGTGTGACACTGAGGGGCTTGTAGATAATCTGTAAACTGGTCTGAACCGCAGTGAGTCTCAAGGACCAGGAAACTCACTGAAACACAAGCACAAAAACTTCAGTGACCAAGTTTGAGAACCTTGTTTTTTTTACTGAAACTGAGCAGGACTCCGCCCACTGATGACACCTGTTCCTCAGGTGACGTCCACACTAGAGAGACTCCTATTGATCGGCTGCTGATTATCATTAACAATACCTGATGGGTGGATGTGAATTAATGCTCCTAGTCATTGATCACCTCCAAACCGATCAGCTGTTAATCCTCTGAGAGAAGCTCTGTGAGCTGCGTAGTGAAGCCCTGCCAAAATAAAACGTGTGTGAGAGACTGATGGAACGTCTGCAATGATGACAAACACGATCGGTATCAGCCGATCGCACTCATAGATGATCGTATCGGTGGCAAAACAGATGATGGCGGCGTCACTAGTCCACACTACTACGTTTTAGTTTTAAACTCATCTCTTCTGCGTTTCCTCCTCCGTCCACACGACTCAGTCCTCAGGCCTTAAAACAGAGAGTTTTGGAAACTCTGTTAGCCCCGTTTTATTTTGAAAACTCTGGGGTCAGTGTTGTAGTCTGGACAGAGTGAGACCTCTGTAAACGATGAGGTCACAGCCACGGTCTCTCCTGATTGGCTGTCATCAGCCTGGACTACCAGTGGTGAATACAACATGATCATGAATGACAGAGTTACTGACCTTGTTGTCTTTGCTAGCAGCTGCTGTTCACTTACATTCTCTGTTTTAATGCTACAACTGCAGAGGAGACGATCTACTTCCTGTTTACACCGGATCTCACATGCTCAGTGCAGGTGACGGTCATGTGTGTTAGTCAAGACGGAGTTCATTTTCGTACATAGCGACGTGGTGTGGACGTAGCCTCAAGCAAGTCCAGGTTCATGTCGTTAGCAACGTCGGCTGACAACTAACGCAGCGTCTTGAACTGTGTGTGAGAGCATTAACAAATAAACAATAAATAAACAACAAATAAACAATAAATAAACAACAAATATACAATAAATAAACATCAGCAGGAAACAGAAAAGTTTCATACTGAGTCGTTCAGTGAGAAAATGAAGGTTAATGTCGCTGCGTTTCTGATTCACGTTTCGTGGCTCAAACTTTGATCCAGTCGGTTGCTGCGCATCAGTAACAGTCGATCTGATTGGTCGATCACTAGGAAGTCAACCTGACGGTAAACTGAGGTGTCAGGAGACTGTGACGAGACACAATCAATTCTCACTATTTTATAAACCAAACGATTAATCAGTTAATGAGCAGATTAATCAATAATGAAAATAATTATTAGTTGCTCTAATTTGTGTGTGTGTGTGTGTGTGTGTGTGTGTGTGTGTGTGTGTGTGTGTGTGTGTGTGTGTGTGTGTGTTTGATTCGACTCTGAGTCGAACTTTTCACTTTATTCATCGTCAAATGTTTGATTTGATTTTAAAAAATCACATTTTTCATAAAACATAATGAAACAAAAGTGTCGAACAAAAACAGTGAAAACTTCAGTTTTCACTTTCAGGAAATCAGGAAAGTAGCGACAGGTGAACAGGTGTGTGGTGGGCGGAGTCCTGGTTCAGGTTCCTCAGCAGTGAAAGTTCATGTCCGTCTTTTGCCAACAGAGTTGTGAGTATTTCTTTTTGAGTACTTGCTGCCAGTTTACTAGTGTTGTACTTCCAGGTGTGGGAATTCACTCTGTTACTGTACTGTTAAAAACCTGATATCAGCATTTTGATATTTGTTATTGACCAGTATTGATTGATTGATTGATTGATCAGGACAGACCACAGTGATCTTTTTGTCGTTTTGATAATTGGCTGATTTAGTTTTTGTAGCAGAAAAATTAAAATCATTCCAACGTGAACACAGGACCAAACACATCAGCACAAAGGATGACCCCCCCCCCCAACCCCCCCTCGTCCAGATCGCTCACTGTGTACAAATCTTCTATTGATAATGTCATTCCTAAAAAAAATTAATAAAATTATTTAAAAAAACAGCAGCAAAAAAGACGGAGGTGATGCAGCATCTTGTACTGGAAAAGAATTATTAAAGAAACTAATGGCACGTCTTGCTTCTGTTGTTTGTTATATATTTATATGTTTTCATATTTACTGCCTCTATGAAGAAAACTATCTTCTATCGATCATTATTTTTCCTTTTTGTTTCTGAATGTTTCACATTCAGTCTGAGCTGCAGCTTCAGGGACAGATCAATGTGATAATGAGCAAAGGTCGTTTAACAAGATACTGCCGGTTTAATTAGTAAAGCAATCACAGAGGTTGGTAGTTAATAAGTTAAAGATCCATGTTCTGTGTTTTATTTGAAGTGTTGATCCATCAGAAGATATAAAAACCATCTCAGTGTAGTTTCACATCTCCTCTCTCAGGCTTCTCTCTGCAGCTCTAGTAACAACAGGTCTGTGAGCCAATCAGAAGAGAGGAGGCTGAACTGGCTTCAAAACCTGAGCTGTACCAGCTGCTGTGTGTGGTGCTGTTCTCTTTGTGATTATGCTTCAGGTGAACTGACCAGGAGGAGCAGGAGGAGGAGCTGGGTGCAGACTCTTCACCCTCCATCATCAGACTGGACTCAGGAGGTGGTGTGGTGTGAGCAGCAGGAGCAGCAGGAGCAGCAGGAGGTGTGGTGGGATTTGTAAAGTTCTGTTGGAACGTGTTGAAGTTCTCATGACGATGAAAACCAAGCAATCGTTGCTTTAAGGAATCAGCTGATTTTGTGTAACGAGAAATTTAAATTCAAATGTTTCACAGAATAATTGAATAAAGTCAGAAAGGTACACAGATAAATATATTTCCTAATAATTTCCTGTAAATAAATCCCTGAATCATCATCAGTGATTGTCAGTGAAATCATTCCATCACTTTAAAATGGCACAAAGTCCAGTCTTGAATCAGGAGGGTAAAATGTGATGAAACAGCTCAGACATAAAACGACAGACTGAGCTGCTTCAGGTCGGAGGCGGATCGGGAACATTTCACCTGGGGGGGCAGGGAGGACGTATGTGGGAATATATATATGTAAATGGATTCAACAAAAAAACTATTTATTGTTGTCACGCCCTGTTTCCACACACCACCCAAGAGACTGTAGTTTCTACAGCCCTCACAGTCATTTCTTCTTTTTCCTCTTCTCCTTCACTTATTTCTTCATCTCCTCATTCTGTTCTCTTCCTCCTGTTCAGTCCTCAGCATTTTCCTGCCCAAAAAACTGGCAATACCCACTTTTACATTTCCTTTTCCTTTTCAGTCCCTCCAGCTGCTCCGGCCTGATGGGTGGAGATGTGAAAAGCTGTGGTTAAAATCCTTGTATCACATCACACTGTAGGGCCATGTAGCTTATAACAAATTTAAATCAGAAAAGATTTATCACACACACAAGAAGCTATGTTCAGACTGCTTCCTCCCATTGTGTTTGTTAGTTTCCCAGTTTGACAGTGACGGATGTGACCTGGTTTAACAGTGAGTGGATTCTTTAGTTCTGCTCAGCTAATCAAATAAAAATGATGGATCTCCTAGAACTGTCACTGTCAGTCGTAACTTAACGCCCTGAAACGGCGACCCTCTGTTAAATGTTATGGATTCAAACATGCCATTTTTTAATATTTTGTATCTTGTCTTTACTAAAATCAAAACTAATCAAAGGGCAAAATGCTCCTGCAATTCACGAGCGAGCGACTTCACTTTTGGCTGAATGGACGTGCGGTTATTGCTGAATCGCCTTTAGCATACATTACATATATTACAAATGTAACTTGAAGTTAAATTGATGTGTTTAAACGTCACCTGAGAAACTCACCTCCAGATGCTCTCCGGGTGTGAACTCCGCTCTGAGCGTTTGATGCAGGGCGTTGCTAAGTATTTGAGGGGCCTAAGATTACATTTACCATTATTCACCTTTGGTCAAGTTATTGTTTGTTTCAATGCTTTGAGAAGCTTGTGGACATGTTGTCTTGTTTTTACTGGTACAGTTTTAAGAACACAAAAGTTAGGGGGGCAGCTTGGGGGGCAAGACTCTATAGTTGGGGCTAGCTGCCCTCCCTGCCCCCCTGTAGATCCGCCCCTGCTTCAGATCCGATACTTTATTATTTACAGTCCAGAGCTGATTGGAATCAAGACTGAAATCAATAAATTAATGTACAGTATTTATGTGATTTTAGCTCAACCACCAAATCAAGTCAAATCAAGTTTGATGCAGCTACTGAGAGCTGCTAAGCTAGTTAGCTTATTTTTTCTCTTTGATTTGGCTGCAGTCATATTTAACTATCAATAACAAACTGAATAAAAACAATATCAATTCATAAAATGGATATTTTTCATTTACAGGTAACGCCTAGAAGAAAATCACAAGCTAAACTTCAGTTTTAGAGAAGGTTAGCTGTGGCTAGCTCACAGCTAACGTTCAGTTGATTAGTTCTGTAACTTTAGCTTTGGTTAGCTTCGTTCTACAGCGTTAGACTAATTCTGGTTTTCAGCTACTGAGTTACTGAGGGTTAAAGAGTGTTTTCACATCGTGTGTTTAAACAAACAGATTGAGGTTTGATCAAATACAGAACGTTGTTACTGCTGTTGCCCTTCCATGTTAGCATGTTAACATGCTAAACTAGGATGGTAAACATTATACTTGTTAAACATCAGCGTGTGTTTTCAGTAACATTTTATTTAATTAAGTCTGTAATTTCAGAATAAATTTCCTTAGAAGATTTATCTAATTTAGTTCTATTTATAAAGAAAATAATCATATATTTATTTTTTAAAATCATCTTTTTAATCCTGGAACAGTAGAAACTTAGTCTTTCCACACATTCACCTGATTTATTGTGAAGTGACTCAAGGACTCAAAACTTCCAGCAATTAATTGGAAATGTATAATTGGAATATAAGACTATTAATTTGAAAATTAATTAAGAAAAACTGCAACGAGTGAGACTCCAGGTTAACACTGGTTAACAAGTTAACCAATTAACCGGTTAACTTGTCAAACAACGACTGCACTTTATTAATATATTTGTTTGTGAATGTCATTCTTCATTCATCTTAAGGTCCACTTACGGGCTTTTCCCAGGCTTTTAACCCGAATCACACCTATACAATTCACCTAATAGTCTCTGTGGTCACATGACCAAAGTTTCTTACTTAGGTCATGTGACTACAGCTGGTTCAACTCAACCCACTGAAGAAGACCCTGACGTGGTTAAGAGTTCTGGATAAATGACCGTTGAGTGATAATATTTATTCAGTTTAACAGGAGGAAACACTCGATGCCCGCTCCTAAACCTTTAAGATCATTAATTCATCCACTTCTCCAGGTTCATTGAAACATTCAGACACATTGTTTGTGGTTTGTTGAGTTTTATTCCTTGAAACATCAGACAGACGTTCAGTTGTCATGGCGATGATGATGACATCAACCAAAACTATCAAGGAAGTTTAAAGTTTCCCCTCCAGCTCAAGTCTGGGATCATGGTTCAAACTGCAGCAGAAAAATAGTGAAGGGATAAATATGAGAAAAGCTCTTCATCAGGTGAAGGTGTTCCCTGACTCAGCACGCAGACAGGTGATAGGTTGAGATGTGACTCCGCCCCCGGGTCAGACA